TATTTGGCTAGCTTGACACAATATCGGCGTCGCAATTGCGGAGAAGTTTCGGGCAACGTGGAAAACACAAACGGGACGATTTCTTTTACACACATGGGTAGAGAAGTGGCTACACCACGGGGCACAACCACGTAGCAGCCAACCGCGCACTACGCGTAGCTGAACTTGCGCATGCCCATGGTCTCCTCAAACATACGCACGCTCCTGAGGATGAAATTGGAGTTGATGCGCCTCTCCAGTTGCGACACCTTCAGGGCGCGCTGCCAGTGCTTGTTAAACAAATATATGGAAATGAAAAAAGACGACACGAAAAACATTTGCGTCAGCCTACTGCTCAGCAGCTTCTTCAGCAGCGCGTATAGAAACCCGTTGCTTTTTTTCTTGTTGTCCTGAATTTGGCTGATAGCGTTGGAGGCCACTTCCGTTTTGTTGTTAATTATTATGTGCTGCGGAATCACCTTGGAAGGGCCCATCATGGTGTTGTTCGCTAACACTTGTTTTTGGAGGTTGACGTTCATAATTTGTAATGCCATGACGTCGTTTCTTAGCTTTTTAAATTCTTCGTAAAAAAAGGTTTCCTCCTTGATCACTTGGTTGGTGTTTTCCACGCAGAGAATCTTCTCGTCCTTGTGGCCATAAGGCCGGTAGTCCAGGAAGGCCTTTCCGCGCCCGTCAAGGTGCATGTTGCAGTTGCCTTTGTTGAACTTCGCGCCCGCGTCGTCGTACAGCGCGCTCAGGTCAGGGTGCTCGCCCTTGCCGCGATCACTTCTAGAGAGATCGCTTCTGGAGATATCACTTCTGGAGTGGTCACTTCCGCTGGGGTCGTGTTTACCATTTCTTTCTTGCTGCGCCCGCGCGCTTCCTCTCTCATTCGAAAAGTTGTTGTAGTAAGAGTAAATCAGCTGATCATTCAGTTCTTTGTTCCTCCTATCGGAAAGAAGGTGTGTGCTGTCGGTGCTAAACGAATTCGAAGGTCTCCCCACGTCAAGGTTCTTTCCCCCTTCATCATTTCTATACTTGGAACCATTTCTGTAGAGGCTGTTGAAAAGTCCGTTGTTCAGAAGATTAAATTTGGTCCTCAAAAAATAGTCGTGCATTAGGGATTCGGTTGCAAGCGACTACTCGTGGACTTAGGCGGGGGAAGGGGAAGGAGGGCGTGCACACCTCCCGTTGTCAACATGAATTGTGTAGAAATAGGCAAGGCCGCACAGAAGAAAAAAAAAAAAAAAAAAAAAAAAAAAAAAAAAAAAAAAAAAAAAAACAAAACAGGGATAAGGTGAACAGGTGAAAAGAACAAAAAAAAAAAAATGCAAACATGTATAAAAACACGGTGCACAGTCGTCTACACAAAAGCGGCAAATTGAAGAAGTTTTACGAGGGAGG